TTAATTTGGCATTGAAAACATCATCTACCAAAGCTGGAAGCCCAAGAGCTACTCATTTAAAGGCAGAGAGTCATGCTGGATGTCAGAACAACCACATTTTATTCTGGATTTGATAAGCTGCCTGTCTTCTGATAAGGCCACCAGCCACTTCAAGACCTACGATACTACAGAACAAGACCACGTCAGCTGGTACGAGATGCGTAGCCCAGGATTTGCCTCCTTCTCTCTGGTGGAAGTGAATTTGGCTAAAAACTTTCTTCAGTTTTTAAATTGATGTTTTTCAAAGTTCTGTTTCAGATAGCAGAAGCAAACTATTAACACACAGTATTCCTTTTTGCAAAGCATAAACGTTCTCAGTAAGAAGTGGAAAGACTTTAAGAACAAGATTTTGATTCACGCTCCATTTTTGAAGCATTTGCCAGATCACATTAAGGGTTTTCACAGGCAGTGCAGTTTGTCAACGTTACAGGGATCTAGACTGAGGTGTGGCACGACTAACAACATCCAATAACATCACCTTCAACTATGTTATGCTAATTTTACCCTTTGTCGTAGTAAAAAGCAAAAAAAAAAAAAAACCACACACTAATTTTAACTGGCACTGAAGCAGAAACTCCAAGATGACAGCAGCTTAACGTGTACGCAGGTTCTGCAACGTGCGTTAGTTGTTTGTGCTGCCGTCTCCAGAGTGAGTGCTGACAAGCCTGTGCACTGTTTCCCTAAAGTCAGAATGCCTCATTGCTTCCTGGCAGAACAAGCCCAACCTTATCAGAAAGATTTTTCTTCTACCAGTTGTGTTACCTTAGACTCATTCCAAATACATCGTGAGGCTCCTAGAATCAGTATTTCTAGCACCGATGAGTTCTCGACACCATCCATGTACCACACCACCAAGAGGAGCTTCCCACTCATTCAGAACAATCTTAAAATTACTCATGCTCACTTAGCAATTCAGTAGCTATGCACCCAGAGACAGACCAGGATGAACCTAAGTCGTGCATTTCAGATTTCCAGACCAGCAACTAATACTGTCTTCAAGTTCTTCATACTTCTGAGGTCACAGGAAAAGTCTGAAGACTTGATGTTGTCACAGACTATTAAAGGAGATTTCGATATGTAGGACACAGATGTCCTTTTACCAAAACGTTACCTGACAGAGACTAAGCCCACAGTGAGACTGGCTTTACCAACTGTGCCAGCTAGTCTAACAAGAGTTTTTACTACTCCCTACAAGTCATGCTGCACTGCTAGGCCTCTGCAGCAAAAGAAAGCGATTCTTACTCAAGGGCTGTTGTGTGATCTCTGAAGCTGAGGACTTCACTGCACTCTGCATCTGTCAGCAGTGCCAGAAGTACAGCACACATTTTCGGGAACTAGCTAGTGCTTTTGCTGATTTCAAAGAAAAAAATGAGGACGGAGATTAGCGTTAGTCATGTTTTGGTGGGACTAAGACGTGACTAAGGCTGGCAGGATTGTGCGGTACTCAGCCTGTGGGCAAAGAGAAAGTTTGCCTTCAGGATTGCTCATTTACTGCCTCCAAGACAGCAAGAAATTCACTTTTAAGACCTTCCTGCAGATTAACATTAGTATTTGTAGCATTGTACAACGATGAAGCACTTGCAGTGCAGAACAACTGCTGTAATCCACCAGCGTCTTCAAGGAAGTGGAAGCCATGCTTATTATTCCAGCATATTATTATAACAAGCTCTAACCTACAGTATTTCATTGGTTTCAAGGCATTTCAGCAGCCCCGCTCTTACTGTCATCAGCCCGACCCACCTACTCACATGAAGTATAACACTGATATCCCCACAGAGAACCTCTACGGAAAGTGTGGATACTCTCAGCTTCTTGCCTATTGCCTGTAACCAGTGTGACCGCAGAACATTTGAAACAATTTTCTCCACGCTAAAAAGACCTTCTGCATTTTCCCCAGTCCCTTACCAGCTCCAATAGTTATTTAACAAACACTAAAGTATTTTTGAGGGGGTGTTTCCAGACTGTCTAAACACTCCTTCCACAGCAATGGGAAGGAGTTCTCTCACCTTGCCAACTTCTTCAGCTCATTGTTAATATCGTGGTTAAATGGCTGTATATGCTGAGCTCTGATCAGGAAATCCCGGGCTTTTTCATATTCTGTCATGCAGAGACAAGCCTGCCATTGAAAAAAGACAGATACATTGAAGGATGAATATAGACCCGCTACCATTCTTCAGGATTGAAACATGTACAACCACAAACATTTCTGAGGCAGATCCAGGTAGTTAAGGAATCCCCTAAGAAAAGGGCTGTACGATAGATTTACAGAAAGCCAGATTTTCCAGCAGGTCAAATGCAGACAAACCACTCTGCCTGCTGTAGGAGATTAGAGTCCTGGCCCCGAATTTAGTGGTTCTCTTCAGTTCATTCTAGGTACTCCCCACAGTCAGTCAGACTGTGGCATTGCTTGATGCATCTACCAGAGGAACTATTTTTGCCCACCTGGCCACATCTGAACAGCGCTTTGGCATTTCTTTGGTCAATCTCCAAAGCCTTTTCCCCATACGTCAGAGCTCGGGCAGGACGCTCCAGTTTCAGGTAAGCGAGAGAGAGATTCAGGAGCACCAGCAACTTAGAAGCATCAATCTGACGCTGCTCTGCCTCACTGGAAGGGCTGCGACCTAGGATGGAGTGTGCCTGAGCAAACATGGAAACATCACCAATACATGATGGGTTTGTTACGGAAAGTAAGAAATCCATCTGATCAGCCAGCTACATCCATGTTTCTATTTACCTAGGTCAGTTAAAAATATCATAACTCTAAAAATACTGCATGGCATTATCAGCATGACTATCCAGCTCAGCCATAAGATTTTGTATCTTTCTAAAGGTTCAATACAGCTTTAGGCACTAATCAAGGAACTCGAAAGCAAGAGAGGGAAAAATTACACGCAGGAACCAGATTTTAAGGGTAAAGATGTTAAATGAAATCAAATTAGAGAAGGACAACTTAAAATATTATTTTTAGAAAGAAACAGCAAGAGAAAGCAACCTTAGATGGAGGGCAGAAAAATCTCACCAGTTTCCAGTTTGGGAAACAATAGAATATTTTCTCTCCTGGGAGGCCAAAAATAAAGTGAAAGTGCCCAGGTGACTAGACACCTCTGTTTCCAGAGCATGAGGACCCTAAATTACTTCTGAAAACATTTAATCCAGAATGCCATTGTAATACAAGACCACACTGCATTATAACCTCTCTTAGTAAAAGCTGACCTGAAAGACCCCAGTTTAGCAGCAAGAGCAATAAAGCAAACTGCTCAGAGCTCATAAAGACACCAAGATATACGCTTCTGTCACAGCTGTAGTTCACAGAGTGCAAAGCTTAAGAAAAAGGGTTCGACATATTTCTGCCATCCCCTCTCCTTCAATGGCATTCAATTACCATTGCTGCTCACACAAAAGCAGGTGTTCAAGATCTGTTCTTAAATAACAAACTATACCTGGAAAATATAATTAAACTATTTGTTCTCTAAATCACACTTGTTATGGCGCGTTAGCACGTAATAATCATTACTTCCACAGCCCACAGATGGAAAAAACATCTTTCTAGTGTCATACCCTTTTGTATCTGTCCTTGGCATCCATGAAATGCTGCTGACGGTAGAGATAATTGCCAAACTCTCTCTCTGTGTCTGCCACTTTCAACACCTTCTCTAGCGGAAACACACCCTGCTGCTCCTGTACAAAGGAAATACCCGAATGTCAACTCAAGCAAAAGAAAACAAGCAGAGATCACGGACAGAAAAGTCCTTCGCAGGCCCCTTCTATGCACAGGGCAGGAGTCAGACCGTTGTCAAAGCCCCTGTATTGTCCAGCCAGGCCACCGTCACGTGGCACTTTGCATCTCCGGGCTGCCACACACCACTACTCTTCTTGGGATGACAACTCCTGATGAGCAGCACTACAAAACCAGTCAGAGAGCTCATCAGGACCAAAGGGACTCTAGGGGGAAAAGAAGCAGGAATTTGTCCTTAAATCCGGCCCTGCTCTGTCATCTGCTTAGCACACAGCAAACACCCAAACTGCATTCCTGACATGAAAGGTGAAGATGCCTGAAAGGCTATACTGCCCTAATCGCTTGTGCGTCACCCGAGGTGGCT